CAGCATTTGTCACAATATTGCATCTGATTTACTCAAAATATAAATAAAATTAAAAATTCAAACAAAATTAACCGGAGGAATTTGTCCACATTTACGACATAATTATAGATATAATAATAATAATGAGTTTGTTTCAAACGGTATTGTCGATTCATTTTGGAAACTTTAGCATGTTATAGATTATTGGATCTAATGTTCTGTTGATACAGTATAGTGAGGGGATATACAAAATTAACAGTTATAACACAGCCTAAGTGGTGTTCACACTTATGAATAATAAACAAATAAAAACAAAAAGTTGAGAGGATTATAACTATAAGAAATACAATAACAATAAAGAATGATGCTTCAAGAGTGGAGGAAATGGTTTATTTAGTGATGCTAAGAAGGTTAGTTAGTTCATGCCTGACACTATTTTCATCACATAGAGTACGTGCCATCACATATGGTATAGTGGAATTTTTATACTTAGATGTACGTGCATAAATTCTTCTGAAAAGACTTCTTGTTTTACCTGAGGAGAAACAAGGTTGGAGCTGCGGGTAGAGTGGGTGCTCAGAGTCTGATAAAATGTTTTTAGCGAATTTGTTGCATGATATCAAATGCCTATTAGTGACAGTGTAAACGATATGGCCCAATGGGATACCACTCGTCCTACTGACAGTCTTCAGAGTTCTACGAAGTATCACATAGTACTTTTTAAGCAATCCAGGTAAGAATAACGGTGAACAGTAAAGAAGAATAAGTAAAATACACGAGTTGAAAAACTGTAAGAGGAGTGGTTGGGTTATGTCTGAGTGCCTTAACTTCTTAATGTAAAAAGTCAAACCAAATATTCTCTGAGAAATCGCTAAGACATGGGAGGACCAGCATAGATCAGAAGAGAAAATTAATCCAAGATACTTAACTTCAGACTGGGTTTCTATATCAGTATCATCATTTTGCCAAGACCATAGGAACCAACGGCTTCATTTAACTTTCGCTTACATCGGAAACTGAAATTAACAGTCTGACATTTGGAAGGATTAAGTTTAAGGCCATTTGACGAAGACCATTTGCTAATTTCTGATAGAAATTTGTTAATCTTAATGCAGTCAAGTTGAGAGTTAACAGACATTGAAATAGTTAGATCATCGGCATACTTAACAAAGTTCATTTCATCATCAGAGTGAGACAAGTCATGCAAGAAGAAATAAAACAGAAAAGGAGAAAGAAAAGCGCCTTGAGGGACACCAGCCTTAGTAAGCAATGAAGTGGACGACTTTCCCTGACATACAGTGTATTGCTTTCTTCGTGAGAAATAAGAATGGGGCCATTTGACAACCCAACAGTCATTTTGAGTTTCAGCAAGCTTGTTTAGTAAAATGTCCTTAGGTACTGAGTCGAAAGCAGATGTATAATCTAGAAAGGTGCAGCTAACAAATTTAGCCCCCTTGTCTAAGCTGGAGACAATGTTATGATACAAGACTGCACCTGCATCTAAAGTACTTCTACTGTGTTTGTAGGCGAATTGTTTGGGATCGTTAAAGGCTTTAAGTGAAGGTTGAAGATTAAGTAAGAGCAGCTTTTCCATAGCTTTTAGAGAAGGGGAAGTAATAGCAATGGGTCTAAATTTAAAACATGTCGCAGTAGACGACTTAGAAATAGGTACAATTTTAATGTCCTTCCAAGCGGCTGGCACGACATTTTTGGAAAAAGATTCGTTAAATATGTCCGTGAGAGGATAACACAGGATATCTGCACACTTTTGACATAAAATAATAGATTAGAAACTGTCAACTTACTGTTTGAACTGTTCAGACAACAGGGGAAAGTTTGAGATTAGTTACAGATTGAAGTACGTTTAGACTGTTTGAATTGGGTGTAAGGTAAACTTATACTTAGAGAAGGAGTTTGCTTTAAACTGTCATCTGGTTTATTTTGTCATAAAAATCGATTGCACGATGCATTCATTTTACTTTTCTCGACAAAAGTAAGCGACTTTGAAGTGTTTATAGTGACTGAACACCTTTCAGGTGAATAAAACTCGGTCGTTCAATGTTTACTAATGTATCTCGAAAGCAACTGTCGAGGTTTACGACTAAATGCATTATGGAATTCTCAAACTCGTTGACACACAATACTCTTTAGAATTCTCCAAGCTTAAACTGTTTTCCTATGGGACACAATCTAAGCAAATATGTGCTTTAGGTAATTTCTCATCAGGTTTTACAATCATACAATAAAACTCTAATTATAGACATTTGAAATCAATGTGGCTCATAGAATTATAATCCAGGAGTATGAATTAATGGGTAATAATCGAGGTGATTATAACAATAAAAACAAGGCTAAATTCATGCAAATGTGTTTATATGATCTAGGTAGCCTATCATCATGAATGCGTAATTAGAATGTGAATACTTCCAGGGATAGAGAAAAAGTAACTATCATCCCACAAAGAAAAGAAATTAAACTGTCTGGTTTTATAATAAACTTTGAAACTAAGATTAAGCTACGCAACTATACCACAACATGACGTCAATAATAGAGATAAAGTTAACAGTATAAATAAACATGGTGTTTACATTGATCCGGTGTCACTGAGAAAGATAACTATTGTGGGTAGCAGATTAAGACCATAGAAGGAAGAGAGATTGGACAAACTTCTTGTAAAACACAGGCAAATGCCTCAGTTGTGCTTAGTAATCGAAGGCGTAAAACTTAGGGAACTAAGGTGGCACCTTGTATAGAATTGCAAAGGCTAAATGTTTATCAGTGGTGTGCTTCGTATCCACTAGATGTGCTAATATGGAACTCTTGAATTAGGCAGGAAAAAATAACAAGAAGTTCAGCAAAGATGGCGATCTTTTCGACGGTTTCATTCTCACAAAGCTGTACAATCGCATTTATATAGATTAGTTTACATGCATACAATTATTATTTGTTTAATTCCACATAGTAACGAAGGTGATAACAATTTTCAACTTGATATGAAAGTTTGAAGGTACGAATATAGATCAAAAGAGGCATAGGAACAAAACATTACACAAGATTAGAATATTCTAATTTTGTTTCTATGCCTCTTATAATCTATATTCACACCTCCTAACTTACACTTCAAGTTGAAAATTTTGATTTCAATTCGTCTCCATGCTCATTTTGTTCACACCTGTAATTCGTTCTATCCCTGCGCCTCTAAGCCTCTTGTAATTCATATCAAGTTGAAAATAATTATCACCTTTTATTCGCCTTTAAAACTATTATTTCTCCAGTTATCAAATATTAATTTTGCATACGTTGTAACTGTTTTCTAATCCTATGCAATCTTGTCTCTAAGCCCCTTGTAATCTCTATATTCGTACCTTCAAACTTTCATATCAAGTTGAAAATTGTTATCACCTTCGTTACTATGTGGAATTAAACAAATAATAATTGTATGCGTGTAAACTAATCTATATAAATGCGATTGTACAGGTGCTTTTGTGAATGAAACCGTCGAAAAGATATCTTTGTTGAACTTCTTGTTCTTTTCAATCCCGATGAATATTTTCCACTCTTGATTTAGTTTAAGATCCCTTTTCCTAACCACTTTAGACAATGCTCAATAAAGCGACGGTGAGCCTTCCAAGTCGTCCTACCTACGTAATTATCTCAGTAAGAAAAGCTGAATTTATAAATGCACACTGAAGTGGCCAAACTTTATAGCTTATCCTCCATCTGCATAGGGACTGTTGAAAGAGTTGTAAATTTTAAATATATAGTTTTGCGACAGAGAATATTTCGGCTTTTGTTTTTTCGAGTTCCGATGGAAGTAATTCAGTAAATGCATCACTTTTGAACGATTAAATCATACACACATGTGTTTCTTCTGCATCGACTGTTGGTGTTACTCTCTGCCTGTTCTCATCACGGAAAGATTTACTATCTCCCAATTTTTACAGCAAACATTTTGTAGCATTTAAGTCAGTTAAGTAATGAAGGGAAAAAGCTAAAAGTTACTAAAATAAATGGGACTGGGTGTTTAGAAGTGATAATTTGGTTTGATGAGTTGATTATAATGTGAGTTTTCACTGTGAACCGTAAAGGGAAGGATATTTAATTTCGTTTAATTCCGTTTGTCAGACAGTCTCTATGTATTCATTACATCACATCACACTATTTTCAACTACAAATTACGAAGTTTTCGATCGAATTGAATATAATATCAGTGTGGCAATATAATTACCCTTTGTTTAGACTCTAAATCACAAGTTATACTTATTTAGTTAAGTGACGTTACTCACAGTTCCCTCCAAAAAAGAAGTCTAATCGAAAGCAAGGGTTCGGGATTCTGAGGGTGACGTCGAATGGACCCAGTGGAAAATAGAAATGAAAGTTGTGTGCAGTCTTGAAGCTAGTTGAAAAAAGGGTGGCAGAAAACCAAGTGGAAGATAGATAGATATGCCACCGAATCCCCACGTTCAAGCCGGTAAGTAAATAAAAAATAATGCTTATGTAATTATTCAAAATCTCTGAAACCCTGGTAGAAAATATTTGGAGTTAAAGCGAAAGTGACACAGACTAGAAATTGAATTTTTTGTCTACTTAGGGAAACTTTATTCATGGCTTATCATATGGAATTGTAAATCAATGACAACACTGCTTCTGTGCGTCACTCCCTCACCGCAACCACATCAATCAGATACGTCTAATTCACAACGTATATATCTCTAGATATAATGGAGAAGATTTGTAGCTCAGCTGGGTGATTTCCACGGCTTACTTGTGCAAGTAAACCATCCATATCAGAGAAAACATCAACTACATCAACTACGCACGTGGTCTGGGGTTCTGTCTGCAGCCTTCTTAACCTTGGTGATGGGAGAAGTCTAACCATGACATGAGCTAACAACCTCACCCCGTAAAAACAAACATCACTCCTACTGGGAACACAAAGGAATAAAGAAAAAAAATACTACACTGATATGAATTAGATCTCCATACCATACATAAAGAAAGTCATGAATACATGGACTTACCAGTGGATGAACGTGAATTATTTCCAGCGTTTGAATTCATTCTAGGTAATCGTCCTGGTGATCGAAATGTATTGTTCAAATTCTCACCGACATGATCGAAAAAATTTCTAATGCTTGCTAAAATTGACATGATTTTTGACAAGTTTAATTTTGTTTTTTTAATGTATCGTCTTTAGTCCTATGCGTTGAATTATTACTCTGTCCAGTTAATACTATTAAATAGTGTTCATATAATTAGTTTTTTGAATTTAGCTTAATGTTGTTGTTTACAATTCCTTCTGTGTTCAACGAACGTGTTAAGTTCAATTAGTTTTTCTGGTGGTGGTATTACGAGGACTTTGCGTGTGTAAAATAGAGACAGCATCAACCCCAAACTATAATGTTTTAACATGAATGAATTTACTAAATTTTAATTGGCTACTTTGTTATGTCTAGAATTAGATGAGGGGATATTTCATTGGATAGAAATAAAAGTCACAGTTATTATTGTGAGTATTTTTGGTAATCATTTAATTGTGTGAATGGCAGCAATTAAATTCCATAATGGATAAGATTTTATTTTGATAAATCACACAGTATTGTCGTACAGTTATATTAACTGATGACGTTTCGAGCACAAACTATTGCTGCTCATAATCATATCAAACATTTTTATGGACAGCTGGGAAAATAGTGCTCTCAGTACATTTAATCCTACTCCAAAAATATGCTGGAGATATGTGGATGACACATTCACAGTGTTAAAAACAGAACATATCTCTAGCTTCTTAACACATATAAACTCACAAGTGGAGGAAATGAAATGAACGAGGAGAATTAGCTGCAATGTTAGATTGTAAGATAAAACGAATAGAAGAAGGTAAACTGCACACTAGTGTTTATAGATAGCCAACGCATTCTAATAGATATTTAGACTTTAATTCATCTCATCCGTTAACTGTTAAGGCAGCCTTGGTGAAGTTTCTGACAAACCGAGCCATAGCACTAAGTAGCACAGAAAAGGACCTAAATGATTAAATAAAACACATAGAAGAAGCGTTGGTGTTGAACAACTATCCTATAAAATTCATCAAGAAGATCAGTAAAGGCCAAAAACAAAATAAAAATAATTGTGTAACAAGTGATGATAACATAAATAAAAAAGAATATGTCTTCTACTGTTATATCATATAAGGAGGGGACATCTGAGGCCCTACGTAGGATTCTCAATAAAGCAGGAATTAGGGTGGCATTTAAACCTACAAACTCACTCAGGGACAAGCTCTGTAGGTTAAAGGACCCTGTTGGTTGACACAGTTAGACAAAATAATATAATTTACAAAATACCCTGCAATGACTTTGAGGTCAACTACATAGGTCAAACTAGTAGATCAGGGGTAGTCAGATTGTCAGAACATAAGAATTTAGCTAAGGGAAGAATGGTTGACCCTGAAAAGATAAGTAATTTAGAAAAAAGCTCGGCTATTGCACTTCACCCATTAACAAGCAACCACACAATAGGGCGGGATTGGGTTAAAATTCTAAAATGTAATATAGGTAGGTGGAGAGAGAGGTTGATTACTGAATCCTTGTTCATCGAATCTACACCCAACACATGCAACAGAAGTTACTCAATGCAAGTACCAGAAATATGGAAGATATTATTACCTCCGGTCAAATCAGGGGAGTATAATAAATAATCATAAAATTCTATTTCAATTCAAACACATCAAAACACTCTAACAAGTAACTTATTATGACTATAGAAACACTCGTCTTTTTTCCAATCTAATTGTAATGGATTATTAACACGCGTACTATTATTTCTGAATGAACATTATCTCATATGGAATTTTATTCCAATACCTAGTCGATTCCACACATGTATATAAATGAAGGAAAGAAGTTGTGTGAGTAACTTGACATGATTATGAGTGGCAATAGTTTGTGCTCGAAACGTCATCAATTAATATAACTGTACAACACTGTGTGATTTATCAAAATAAAATCTTATCCATTATGGGGTTATACTCTACCACAGTGCCCAAGTTTTATACTTATATCAGCAATTAAATTAAAGGGACTGAAGACATGCTTTTTCTTTTGTCTTTGCTCTAACACAGATGATAACCTATCTGCCAACGATTATAGCCACTGACCATTGTAAATTGTCGCGAAACGTCTATGTATATTAGTTAACAAACTGTGACGTTTATTTGGTTTACTTTTGTTCCTTCTGATGATTTACTGAACCAACTCCTGTTATGAACGCTTCAACGATGGTTGAGAATTAGCATAATTGCATGGAGGATTTCATCATTAGCTGACATCAATTAGAGAACCACTGGAAAACCTGGGAGTACTGGACAGTTGTTTCGTCCTAGTTTAGGACTCTTCATCAGTACGCAGCAGTTCGAACCCCGGTGGGTGCGTACTGCTGAAGAGTCGCATACTAGGACGAAACAGCTGTCTAGTACTCCCAGTTGGTTTTTCAGTGGTTCTCTAACTGATTTCAGCTCATGATGAAATCCTCCATGCAATCAAACAAAAATCCCTACAAAACCAATACTTGAAAATTAGCATAATGCTATTTGGTGTATGTGGACTAGCAGTGGGATCCAGCTGATGTGTGTGTATCCTTCCATTTGAAACTCGTCATCTGAATGTACCTGTAACCACCTCACTGAGTGATGAAGTTCCCAATTAAACTCTAACCCAGGACCTATTGTTTCACTAGGTCATTTGGGAACATTCACACTCACTTTAACTGGCGAGTCCTAAACTGGGATAAAATGTAAATCCTTGATTCTGCTGTCAGTTACAATTCACTAAATGACATCATATTCATCTTCAGATATCAATCCGTACTAAGAGCCAACTTGCCAATAGAGATCAAACAATTCAGTCCAGTATAATGAATCCATGGGAAGTACAAAATTAACTCAATGCAATATGATATTTATGCGTAGGGGACTTAACAATGTATTCGATAATGATATGAAATGTCAGGATAAAAATCTAATTTAATGGAAGAAGAATATTGAGCAACAAATTTACAATAATAGAGATAACGATTTAGATAGTTAACGGTTACTTGTGTTATGCAGTTACAGTCCACTGCTACTAATCATTAATATTATGCACAGATCTGTTTCACGGCTGTCGTCGTGTTCACTGTTAGAAGTTGTGTTACTGGTTGCTGATAAACAGTCTTTCTTTAGATGAGGACGAGATGTTCCTGCAAATTTCAAAGAATATAATAAGGGTATTAACGAAGAAAAAAGATAGATAATTGGAACCAGTGACAAGAGAAAGTAACGGACAGCATGATTATGCTTCAATTCGAACACCAAAGTTATTATTATTACTTGACAAAGAAGTCGACTGAACAAAACTGATGTAAAATATTCCTATTCATGAAATCTAGAGAAAATTGTATGGATTCATTGTTTGTGGCTCCACATATGTATAATCACATCAGAGGAGTAATGACCTTAGTATTGGAATATCAGTTACTAATACGGGTGCCAACGACAATTATACATCTCATCCAACAGCTGTACGACAATGCTGCATGCCAAGTAATCCACAACGGGAAAATTACGAAATCCTTCGAAGTGAGGACAGGAGTAAGACAAGGCTGCCTACTATCGTCAATGATTTTCCTGATTGCAGTAGATTGGATAATGTGACAAACAGCGGCGGGCAATGAGGAAACAGGCATAAAATGGACTCACACAAAGAAGACTTGGAGGATCTGGACTTCGCCAGTGATATATGTCTGATTTCCCACAAACTGGAAGATGTGCAAGCGAAAAGCAACAAGTTGGCAGAAGAAGCATCCGAGAAGATAGGACTTCAGGTGAACATAGATGAAAACAGAGGTGATGAAGATTCCTGGGCAACACCACCAACAGCAACAACAACAAGACAACAATCAGCATAAATGGAAGGAACCTGAAAGAAACAACCCCCTTCACCAACCTACCTGGGAAGCATCGTTTCAACTACAGGCCGGCGGAACTGACGAGGATATCAAAGCAAGAATCGGGAAAGCAAGACAAGCTTTCACTACTCTCAAGTCTGTGTGGAGGTCAACAGCACTCAGCATCAAAACGAAGATAAGATCCGGATTTTCAACTCCAATGTGAAGTCAGTCAGTGCTACTCACTGTACGGATCAGAGACTTGCACTGCGCGTCATAAACAGCATCTCAAACAAACTACAGACCTTCATTAACAGTTGTCTTCGCTCAATACCACTCAAGATCAGATGGCCGGCCAGAAAAGATCAGCAACAGAGATCTCTGGCAATGAGCGAACCAACTCAGCAGGAACCGATTGTGAAACAAATCTGCAGGAAGAAATGGAGATGGATTGGCTGGTCATTCTCTGAGGAAACAATCCATCAAGTGACATCACTAGACAAGCCATTGCTCGAGTGGCCCCCGAACGGGAATCGGCGAGTTGGTCGTCAATGCAAGGGTGGACTTGGAGGAGGTCATGTGAAGAGGAGATGAAAACGTGTGGGCAGACTTTGAGCCAGGTGAAGACTCTAGCAGAGAACGGAACGCAATGGAGACGTTCGGCTGAAGCCCTATGTTCCTCTAGGAATTAAAGGAAACAATAATAATAATGTTTTCAGAATTGCTATTTATTCTTATACTTTCGTATACTATTCAGAAATAATAGTATTGATTAAAAGTGTAGTTTAAATCCCATCCACTAACATGAAGTCATATAAAAGGCAGTCAGTTAGGAGGAACTCTTCCCAGCAATGATATTTTCAAGCCGTTTTACAATCGCATTGTCATAACAGCAAAAGGAAGGCTTGCATAGGTGTGCCATCAAAGTGTTACAGTTTGCGTAAAAGTTAAGGAATTATAAGGAAACTTGCTTGATACTAAGACATAAATCAGTAGAGAACAACGAAAAATTGATTGACGTAACACAATCGACAGGATTGAATAGAGTTCAAATAAGATTGCGATAAGTCCAACTCAAATCAGTGTCACAAGGAGTAAAGGTTTAAAAGTGAGAAAATTGTTTAGACAAGTTAGAAATTCACTGACTGGACAAACTTCTGTATTCACAGGTCAGGTTATAGTATATATAGAATGCCATGTCTTCTGAGGTTTGGAGTAGTTTGATTTGCAAACCTCCTGCTTACTTCGTATATAACTATGAAGCTAGTTCTCATGAAAATATGTATTTAAATGTCCAATGATTTATTTGGATAGCGAACACCAAGCACGGCCAGCATACCTTGCTGCAAAGCGGTAAGTAAACTGATAGATATGCACTGATGAGGCCATCGGTAGTAGCCTATTCTTGTTCGACGAAATTGCTGGTTTTCTAGACAGTCAG